GTATACAAAACAAGTCAACAGCCACCTGTTCTTCTACTGTATGACTTGGGCTTGAAGCTTGGCTCTGTTCAACTTTCTTCGTGGTTCAGCCCTTTGCTGTGGAGATAAACAGGAAGTGTTTGTTATTAATCCGTCATCTCTGGAGGGCTCATAAAATAGTTTTAGCGCCCTGTTAAACCCAGTAAGGCCATCATTCTAAGCATCACATCTTCCAAGGAAGAGAAAGAAAGGGATTAAGAAAAAATGGTCACTGTCATTTATTTTCAGCAGCGTTGCTCAGAGTAAACTGTGGTTAAACTGGTTGGACCCATTATGATCAAGCCAGACCAAAGGGTTTGAGAATAAAATTGGTGGGCTATTTTTAGGCAATCCACTTCCTCTGGTTTGTGATACAAATCTTTTGAGAAAGAAAAGAACAGTGTTTTTGTCTAAGTGGCCTCAACGGCTTGTCAGTAGTTGCCCTTGCTGTAATAGCGTCATGCAAATGCATAATTACAGCTTTGTTTTCTTGTATTTGCTTATTTATGCACGTTATGATATTTGCCAATCTTCAATGCTTCTTTGTTTGAAGCTCCAACCTGCAGTTTTCCGAGTGGTGAAAAGCAAATGTGAAGATTACTGGAGCCCTAAGTCTAGTGTAACGTGACCTTCTCTGTCCAGACGGAACAGCCACTGGGTTCAAAGAGATCCCCACCCTTAACTAGAGGTCACGGGTCAAGAACAAGGGTGTAAGGTCATGGACGCAGACACGCACCTGTTCACAGGGGGCCTCTTTGCAGAACAGATGACTCCCAGATGTTTCTGAAGACGATAAAGCTATCACCTGCGTGTGTGGTTTGACGGTCCCATAGATTCAGAATACCCCCTGCGAAGGCACTGTTTAGAATTGGACTAAACATTTCATTCCCAGAAATGCTTCACCACCATACATGGCCTTATACAGTGCGTTTGAAGGAAGTCAAAGACTTGATTTACTTTGTTTTGAATGGATTTTAAAAATGGACATTCTTACACCTGGAAAAGCTCAGAGGAGGACTTAGTCTTGGGTTCAGTCCGTGGTCAGCAAAGAAGGGACTCATTCTGAACAGTCTCTACTGAAAAGATCAGTACTTTTGAGTGTTTCCTTTTGATTGCGGGCTGAGAAATGGTGATAAATTGCAAGGTCAGTCAAACAGCTGAAGTGGTACTCTGTGGAGAGAAGTCTCCATATTGCCAATATATAGTAATAGCAACTGGGAAACATAAACCTTGCTTTTTGAATGGAAGCATCTGGGGAAAAGAGCAATGTTTTTTCTTTTTAGTTTTTACAACCGTCTCTTTTCCAATCACTATTCTCTGTCAGCCTTTATTATTTTTACAGTTCACACACCTGTTTTCCTTGCAGTCTCAAAAAGGAGCTAAAATAAGTGATGTATTAGAATGGTTTTAATGTAGGCCTTTTCCACTCCGAGATGAACATTATTCGGACATAATTCAAAGTTAAATAGTGTTTTCTTTCATGCCCAGTCTTCAAGGCATTACCTCATTTGTTAACATGATGAAGCTGTCATGAGTCAGTCAGCAAAAAGCTGTACCATTGTCCAAACATGACAGCATTTAGTTGGCACATATCCAGGCAGACAGCAGAGGTACTGTGGGAGCAGTCAGTTTGGTGACCTCTGACCCTGCCCAGTCTGACTCAGGGACAAGAGAGCCATTCAGATGCCCAAAACTTGCCAAAAAGAAAACCTCCCCAAAAGCACCCAGCCCTCAGTACAAATGACAATCCAATAGTAATCCTTTTGAAATGCTTGATTACTCTCAATTAAGAGTGGTAAAAGCAGGAGGATTATCACATATGTAGAAGAGACTAAAGGGTTAAGGTAGAAGTGCATCCAACAGTGAGCATTTATACAGGAAGTGCAGTGTTTCCCACAGAATTTAATTCTATTTGTGGGGGCACTGCCACAAAAAAATCAATGTATGGGAAACACTGAAGTGTGTAAATAATAAAGACAGAGAAAGAATGTCACCATATGAATATCGTGACTTCGATTTATGGCTTTCCAGTCTTTACAGTACCTTTCGGCGGAGGCTTTTGAAAGATGGATAGTATCATGTTCCCCACTATGATGATTTATAGGGAACATACAATTAGACCATGTATAAAAATGGGCTCATATTTACGCTGTCAAGAGTTCAGTCTTTGTGCAGCAGTGGTATTTTTCTCTGGCAATTTATCTCTGTGCGGGCGTGAAAGCTATGGCTGTGTGCAAAGTGCTGTCACAAGGAATTCCTCGCTTAAACAAAACAAACTTTAAATGAAAGCTGCCTGGTCTGAAGAAACCCTAAATAATATATTAAGGAACAACACGTCGTAAAACAGGACTGTTTGCCATGTTGGCTCTGGCAGCTGCCGGTTTGGAGGAGGATTCTTGCAACTGCTCTTCAGTGACAACCGTGGAAAGGTTGCTTTGAATGCCAGAATCTGCAGTTTGATACACTTCTCTCTTTTAGCTGCTTCACTTTTCACCCGTTTGACTGCACATGAGAGGTCTGACGGAGAATGGGTGGTTTATGAGCCTAGACAAGACCACCTTGGGTGACCTGCTTCTTTTCGTCCAAAATGTCATTCACCTTTTGTTCAACTCTACGCCAAGTGCCAAGTTTTCTTTTTACTGCTCCCCCTGACCAAATGTAGCTCTTGTTAGCCAAATGTTTCTTGCACTGTGGCAGGCATTTCTTTTTGGTTGTGAAAGATTGTTGCCCGGAATGTTCAGTGGAGTCTTCTGTCTGTTTCCTCAGTGGGTACTGGAAGGTTTAGACAGCAGCTCAGCAAGCGTCCACCAGCTGACAGACCAGTGACTGGCAGGTTGTCTGGAGCTTCATGTCCTTTTCCACCAACACAGATATGCGAAGAGGAAAGCCCCCTTCCTGAGGTGTCAGTCTTGCTAAACATACTCCGTTAGCTAGTTTATCCATCATGACATTTGCACTTCCTGTGTGGTTTACTCTAGCTTGCATTTAACAAAATTACCCAGGGGGCAGTGCAAGTTCACTGAAACCGAGTTTGTAGATTCAGCTTCCAGTCATACAGAGTGACAATTTTAAGTTGCATCTTATTGTCTATCTTTCTTCAGAAATGCATGTTGACCAGACAATCATACCCTAAACAATTTAGAAAGTTGAAAAGATGGACATGCGGGCCAGATAGATCCTAAATTCTTCTTTTAGGGGTGTGTGATGTTTATCCCAAACATGCCAAGCCCACTCCATTTACGTCAATTAGTAGATGTAATTCACCAGGCTGTGATGGATGACACAGCAGTAGCTGAAATGCTCTTAGCTACCCTGCAGAATGAACTTAGCGTATTCCTCTGGGTCGCGGTTCGGAGATATTACCCTAGAGAAAGCAGAAGTGATCCAAACCTGACTTTGATGATCCACAGAAAGTGGCAGTAGGGAAAGTGGAGATCATGGAGAAAAGCTGGACATGTCTAAGAGCTGGGTTAATAGATGCATCCCCAGGGTTTGCTTAGGAATGCACCAAGGCATTTCTGCCAGCAGTTTGATGTCATCCATCTTGCCTCCCTTGAGAAAGATGACAAACGGCATGAGGACTCCCACTTTTCCCACTTTTGGCTTATAAATGGCTCCAGTTTATGTGTGTGCGAGTGCAAAAGCCACAGTTTTGCCAATACTTGAAGATGGTTAGTGTTTGCGTTTCTGTCCTGTTTTATAGGCACCATTTTACTTTTTTAAATATGCACAAATACTTTGAGAGTTGTAGCAGATACCAACTGCTAAATGATAATGTATTTGGTTGGCATGTATTGATTGCATAAAACAGTTCCAGTTTCATAGGGGCTACTCAGTCTTTCCGTAGGTCAACTATCAAACAAAAAGACAGAAAATCTCTGCAGGTCTGTCCTTCAATACCCAAGATTTTTTTAATATTGCCCTTGAAAAGTCCTTTCCCCAAATCTGGTCAGCCGCTCTTCATCTATTTGCACATGAAGGCTGAAATCAAACAATAGTATTGATCGCAAATCATCACCACACCAGCAGTCACCTCGCCAAAGGCTGTCAATATTGGTCTTGCTGAAATACATTTTTCCAGACACATTGATTGAGAATAATCAATAGTGAAAACATTCATTACAAGTTCATTTAATTCATTATGAGTAAATGTTTGTTTAAATGCTTTGCAATTTCTTTGCACCATCTAGGGTCAGGGGTGATGTTTGTGTCTTTCCCAGTTGCATGGGAGTCTTGGGGGGTCTTGAGATTTTGACGCCAATGTTTGCACTTGCTGACCCCTCATATTATCACAGTTACATACTTGAACTCCACTTCTCAGAACCGTCTGTGGTGTGGCCCCCCCCCACCTTCATACATTACAATTGGCTGAGCTAATGGTGTGAACTTCACAACTTCAGCAGAACTTTGCACAATCAGGCATCCTGTAATAACTTCTTCCAAATGACCACTGATTGAATCTCAGGGAAAGCCTTTTTCCTGTGCGGTCACCGGGGTATTGGAGAATCCCATATTTGGCATGTCTTTTGTGTGTGTGTTCTCACATGGGCGCGTGTTCTTTTTTGTGTGCTGGCCAAGAGAAGACGCGACAGGAAAAGGGTTTCCTATGGGCGTTGTGTGTGATATCCCCTCCATTCAAAGCCTTTTTTTTGGTCTGCATTGGGTGGAGTTAGGATTGCGGGGAGGGTTGGGAAGCGCAGGCTGGCAAGGGTCATTTCCTTTCATTTGAACTTCTCCCTTAGCCTCGCAAAGCAGACACCAACACACATGCATACTGTACATAAATGCATTTATATTCACAGAACATTCATCACCTTCTCGCTGACAACCACATGGATGCTGTCATGCACTGGGGCTGGAATCCAGAAGGGGAGGGGAAATAGGGCGAGTGATCCAAAGACAGAGAGCAAAAGAGGGAGTGCAAGCAAGAGAGGGAGGGGGGGAGAGAGAGCGGGGACAATGTCAACAGCTCGGCTCCCAGCACAGTCAGCTGAAATCCACAGCTCAGCTCAGAAGCTCAGAGAGGAGAAGCAGACAAAACGCAGCAGCTTCGGTCGGGAAACATCGTCAGACTCGGCAAAGGCATGGAATTCGGCCACAAAACACAAACTCCAAAGGGAAAAAAAAGGGATTTAAATCCAGAGGCTGGAGGAATGCTTTAAAGATTTCTTGTAGCCTTGCTTCGTTGAAAGGCTCTTTATATTTAGAGTGACGTGACACAGGAACAATCCATTTCTCAGGGCAGCCTGTCTGACTTTGGTAAGTAGGAGATACTTGATCTTGATACTGATACCTTAGACCCTTGCCGGACACACATACATCGTAGTGCTTTTCATTCAGTAGGAGATTGCACACTTGACAGATGTTTGAGTGTAAACCCAGTTTGTCCATGCACTCCATCCTGCTGCTCAATTCAACCGAGAATACACAGACTACTGCCGTCAATAAAATAAACACTTGTCAGTAGGTTCAGTACTAAGTCAAGCAAAGAAAGAAGCCGGCGGGCAATACGGGCTTCTTATCCCACTAAGATGATAACATTTCCTCATTTTTGTGTTGTTGTGATTGAAGGGTAGGGCCATTTTTTACTATACTTCACTACGGTAGCTTTTATAGGTCATAAACAGCAGCAAAAAGCTGGCTTGTGAAATGTGCATGGTCTTCATGTTTTGGCTCTTTCTTCAGTGGTGTTGACAGCACTCCTTGCTTAACCCCCATGTGTGCTGCTGCATTATATGAGCAAGCCTTGTGGAGCATTGATGGTAGTCTTGGATTCAGTTTTAGCTGAGATCGTTTAGAGTTTTAATTTTCTTTGGAAGAAGTGACATGATGTTTCAGGGATGGATGGCGGTTCAGCATTTACAATAGCTGGAAGAGTTAGTTTAAAGCAATTGACATCCATGTTTGGTTTGAACCATAAAGTTTGGCTGGCACTTAGATCATGGAAATGTTTGGCATTAGGAATTGAGGCAGGATGGGACAGTGTCATGTAATGGACGGGCCTATTTTGGGTCCTAGACGTGGGTTGATCACTCATGTTCATCAATCACACAGTCAGCCCTTTGGTGTAAGTTGTAGCCTGGCAGCCAGACATTCCATATATGCTGTACATCTCCCCTCCCAGCAACAACTCAACCTAACATGGAACTTGAGGAGCAGACTTCCACTTACCTCTAAAAAAAGCCATCCAACATCCCAAGCATTAATAGACTATTCTTCAACATATCCCTCAAGGGAAGCCACTACTCCATAACAGCTCAGACCAACATAAATACACTGTCTTAATCTCCCAGGGTTCTTGATTTAAAAAAAGTATGGAGCCTCCTTTTCCGTGTGGTATCATTGCCTATCCCAGTTGAGAGGCTGCCATCTCAGTGATGAAAGTGCATTTACTGGCCTTCCAAATTCCACCTGTGAAATGGATTATTGATGCCTACTTGAGGCTTGCATAATAGGTAACATTCCTAACAGAAAACTCAGAACATTTTACTTGAGGCTGAGCTTTTAAAATGCTGATGCTGGATAGAATAGCAAAATGAAAAAGAACATAAGAAAAACATTATTCCTCCAACATTCAACACCATTTATTCCTTTCAATGATTTGCGTTTGAAGGTTGATGAACAAGAGGCAAAACTAATTTATACAGTCATAAGGCCATATGTGTTTTCTTTGATGTCGTTTTGAATTGTGAACAAGATAGTATCCAATTCCACCACATTAAAGGCTTATTCTCCAGTCTTCTTGAAATCCTCCTACACTAGCGTGTGCCAGGGGGCAAGCTGAGTGACATCACTAAAAGATTCAGTGTGTTGGGAGGGCATTAATGAAAGTTGAGGACTCACAAGTAGTGTACACACACACACAGCCTCTGCTGCCGTCAGCGCTCTCAGGGCTTTTCATATTTTATCGACCATTACGGATGCATGAACTGCTCTCTCAGGATTAAAGGCAGTGAGAGTTAGTGAACGACTGTCGGCCTTTTATCACTTCGGCCATGCGGCTGACTGGCAGCTCAACTGCCTCCTCATTACGATGGGGACAGAGAGAGAGAAAAAAGATGAGGTCTGTAAAGCTGCTTAAATTCAACTATCTGATCTTTTGGATGGGATTATCGTCATGTTGTATTTATATTAGAGTGGTTACTGTGTCTGAGGGACACAACTCATAGAGCCTTTAGCTGTAAGACTGGTGTTGCTCTCTCTCCTTTACTGGAAGTCCCCCACACTGAGTGTGTGTCAAATGGCACCATTGTATTTGTGCCAGTGACACACTTTCTTGGGCTTATGATGTGTAAGCATATCTATCCTTTACACTGCCTCAATTCAGTGCAGTATTACTGCAGGGTATTTGAAAAAATGCTGGTCACTTCAGAGGGCTGTCCCTATATGTGTCGCTATTACTGTCCCAGAAGAGCATTCCAGACATTACCCAGAAGCCCTCTGTCCTCGATGTTGCAGCTGTTGACCTCTCACCCAGGCAAGATTAATAGCTTAACAATGAACAATATAGAGTGCCCCAATCCACTCACTGCTATTGATGGACACATTAAAACCTGGCTGCACAGCATGAAAAGCCAAACGGTGGCAAGCTGACAAACTATTGAGAACTGTTGACCTAACCAGTGGGTGTCATCGTCGGCATAGAAAACCATTTTTTTGTCCGTTTTTTGTTGGGTTTGTTCAATAGTTAACCCATTTAAACACCCAGAAAACCTTGACCTTCTCTGCTTACTGTATATGGATAAAGGTACTGTAATTATAAAAAAGGGCTCCTACTCTCAAAAAGACTTGACTCCCGGGTGTTTGTACAACATCTCTGGGAAGTTAAGCACCCCTTCCCTATTGAGAGTGGTAACCAGCCCTCAGTCTGTACTCAAGCCATTTTTCTACACATATATAACATGTCTTTAGTTAGACTGGAAGCTTGTGACTGTGGCGTTCTTCCCATATGAAATAAGAAAGTTATTTGACACTGCAGTGTAGCGGTTTGCGTTTGAGGGAAAAGGATGCCTAGTATTGTATTTCATTCTGAGCGCTGTTAATATGTGGGAATGTTGGAGAGTTAGGAATGTGGCATGGCCGACTTTCTTCCCATTGCCAGTATTAATAGCATAGTTATTCGGTGAGCCGGTCTATTTGATGAGCAGGGATGTGACTTGCAGAGATGTGCCCATCGGCCAAAAGAGAAGTGGGTCAGCAGTGCTTCGGATGTTAGTCTCGCCCACTTGATACAACCCCCCTCATGAGCCAATATTAACATCTGCATTATTAGAGTCCCACACTGCTGCGGGTAGCCTTTGCTTAAGCGGATTACCTTTTGAATATAGTTACTACTACACAACGTGATGTCTCGAGAGATGTGTCACAAAAATAGCTTTTTGTCCCACCAGGCCTTCCAAACGTTAACTTCATCAAAGTCGTACGGGTCTCCACAGGTTCTCATTTCAACTTGTGTTCATGCAACTCTTGGCTGTTGTTCGCGGCTTCTATGAAGGGGTTTTAACATGTTTATAATAATTGGCTTCAAACGACAACTATGCATGGTTGGGTACTCTGGGCCTCTCTACTTCTGCTTGGAGCTTTTACATTTGTTTTGATAATGGTAAAATAACATAATCTAAAAGCACAGTTGTAACAACCCCTAACTTTGTTTGGTCTACGTCATTATCAATGTTCATCGCATAAGGAAATGTCTGCTTTTTATTGAATCAAGCTAAATGAAATGGCTATTATTGAAATCCTTGGAGAATTGGAAACATCTTCCCCCTCCTATTTTTCCATTGGTTTAGTTGAGGCATTTCCTCTTTATGGGTGAGGTGGGTTACTGTGCCTCATGGCCCGTTAAAGCCAACAGTGCTTATGTGTTTGTTTGAAATGAGGCTAGCAGCCAATAACACCCCTGAGAATTCTTGAATGTTGGCTGTGAAAGGGTTTATGATGTGAAGTTGAAAGATTGCCATGAGTAGGAGATCTGGCACCTCACTGTTTAAACAAAATTGATTGGGGATAAATGTAAAGGTAGAAACATCACAGACAGTTTTAAAAGCTTGTATAGAATAACAGTTTTTTAGCAGTTGGGTTCCCAGCGATGTAATGTCAATTGAAAGTAGACAGATATGAAAAGCATCAATAACCATTGCCATTTTTCCTGAAGGGGATGATCTGTGCTTCAGTAACCACTTTTGAAACCTAAGGCGGTAACATATAATTACACTGTCCTTGCATTGGCTGTCTGACAAGATCTGTTTGTAAACAAAGAAAATGAAAAATTCCTCTCTCTCCAAATGAAATTGCCTATGCCTTGGAGGCGGTCTGGTTATACTGTATTCAAGCAACATTATTAAACATGAGATATTAAAGTAATTAATAATAATTGTGGTTGTAGCCAATTTAAATGGAGGAATGTTGACTTATTAATTATTTCCTTATGTTACGCACAGTGCTGGCTCTATACTGTACCAAAACCCGATGTAACTGGCTCAACTGCACCCCCTTAACATTGTTCTGTTGCCATTGTCAAAGCCAGTCGTGAGCCGTGACTTTTATACCTAGGCCCTCTGACCCCCCCATTCCTTCCCTCGAAAAAAAAAAAAAAAAGAAGAGTTATTACGTCACAGCGTATACTTCAGCGGAATATCAAAAACAACGGCCCGGGGTGCAAAACGCGACAGCGACCCTCTACCACATAAAACAACACCATTTATATAAACACCTATCATGACAGGGCACCCACAGCCAAGTAACAATTAAAAATGAATTAAGTCGGCACGGCGGCCCACATTGAAAATGACTTAGGCCTACCTTTTATGGTCAAATCACTTAAACACAAAGTCCATCCTCCTGTCCTTTTGGATGAAGCACTTGATGGCTTTATTTTATCATTGTAACTCAATCTTGAAAATGACTCGGTTAATAATTTCGCAACGATGTCATCACTATCACTGACATGAGCCATCATGAACGAAGTTATGCTAATCATAAATCTATCGATTAGATTTGTGATTCGAAAATTATAAAAGGAGGATATTATCCGGCAACAAAACGTGCATTTATCTAACCGGTTCGTTTTCCACAGACCTTATTTCGAGCTATTTTCCAAAATCCTATGGAGAAATCCCATTGCTTTTTTGTCGAGGGAACCCATGCGCAGCTTACTTCCGGGTTTTAGGACGCGTCACTGCACCATAGACTGCATAGACTTCACAGCGGGCGGAACTTGTCATAAAGTCCACGAAAATAAAGCCCACCCATTTAGAGGG